GGAGCAGCAGTAAACGCTAAAACTCCAACGACCGCTTTAATTATGTGATCCGTTTATACACACACACACATACACGAGGGCGAGCAAAAACGAAAGCCCAAACGCGCGACTAGACGTTGGCTGCAGCGTTGGCTAGTGTATGAAAGGAAGATTGGTTGAAGGCACAAAGGGATGCTTAGACAGATACATGCACTCTTGTATGTACATATGTACATATGTATGTTCGTCTGTGCATGGAATTGGCGGTTAAAGTCATTGACTTTGCTGGGCATGCGCGTACGCGATTAGAAGGTATACATATGTGGCTATAATTTCGCTTTTAGTCAGACGCAAAGGATGTTTGCCAGCTTCACTTATGTACATTTGTGTGTACATATGTATATGCATACATACAAATGTACAAATGTCTGTGAGATCGTATGCTCGTACATAGTGACCTTAGCAGGTTGTCTAAATGCCAGTTTTAATTTTGCTTTTTTCTTTGGAGAGCTGTTGAATTTTTTCTAAATTTTGAGTCGCAGGTTTTTGCCCTAAGTTTATAGATCTTTTGCAATGAGGAAAAGCTTTAATTTATGTTTAGCCAAAATTTGTGTTTAGCCAAAATTTGTGTTTGGCCCAAATATATGTTTATCCAAAATTTTTGTAAGCAAGAATTCATGTCTAGAAAGAATTTATAATTTTTAATTAATATTTATATATTTATGTTTAGCCATAATTTATGTTAAGCCATAATTTATGTTGAGCCAACACTTAAGTTTGGCAATATCTTGCATTTAGCAGTTGTTCACCATGAAATTATTTGTTGTAAGAATTATGTTTAACAATCATTTCTAACCAGCGGTAGCCGAGTGGTTCGCACTGCGTACTGCCATTCGGAAGGCTCACGTTTAAGTCCCCGTGCGATCAACAGCCAAAAGTTATAGAAAATTAATTTAAATAAAAAATAGAGTTAAATTTTCTGTATCGGTCGCCCCTCGGCAGGGAATGTTCACCCCTCCGAGTGTATTTGATGTATGGCAATAATTTATGTTCAGCCTTAGTCCATGTTTAGCTATGACTTATGTTTAGCAAGAACTTTGGTTCAACTGCATTTCGAGCTTAACAATATTTTATGTTTTGTTTTAACTCAGGCTAGCAATAATTTATGTTTAGCAATAAATTATGTTCAGCTTTAATTTATGTCTAGCAATTATAACGTAAAGAAAATAAAATTCCTCATTCAATTTCGTGCCAGCGAGGATTCAGCAAGCCACTTATCTATATTTTTCCTGATTTCAATTAAACTCACTCCACTGTGCCTATGTGTCATCATTTATACGACAGCAAATTAAATGAAACCGAAGCAGAACAAAAATTATTCCACTACCACAAACCTGCGTCCAGCAGCCTGCTTGTCTGTTCTGAATATACACTATTATTACTCTCATCTCAAGTGATCTTTTAATTTCCCTTTTTTCCAAAGGCCAATAAACTACATGCACATGCGCCTGCCACCACAACTCCACAGTATAGTGCAGGTGTACCCGATTGAACTTTTTCAAGTGAAATCCTGTTGAATGGACGTCGAAGCGGTGAATGCGTTATTGTACTTGGTTTTCACTACATACATACATATAAAAAGTAGTAAAATCAAACTGATGACTTAGTCGGCGAGCCTAGGAAAGATCTACAATGTTCGAGTGCGCGAAATGCAGCGGCTAACAGAACGCATGCATATGAATACATATGTATAGATATACACATGTTCATATATGTAAGAAATACCAAAATACATATGTATGTCTATTTTCCTATGCAAGTCACACACATATAAAGATGCGCCTATAATACGCTACATACTTATTGGCCATCTGCTGGATGCGAGCACCTCTCACCTCCCAACCATCATGACTATTTCAATCTTCTCGTCCTTTTCTCGCTTCTGTCCTACAATGAAACGCAGCACCTAGCAGCACTAGCGTTGAAGATTTTAGTTTTTCATTTTTGTTCATGTACGTATGTATTCATTGCTTTGATGTTATTGGCCCTGAACTTGACAACAACTAGTTCTCGAACATACGTAATTTATTATATTTGACTTGTGCGATTGCCTCGGAAACTATTTATGTTGGTATTGTTCGTAATAATTGGTGTGATTCATTTTATCCTTACACCCGTACAACATTCTGTTACATATTAACACATATGCGTGCATACATACATATGTGTACAAACAAAAATATAATATGTGCAATGCAGCAAATCAAGGCGGAATTGTGAAATAGGCAATGAAATCTGTTCTCCAATTCTCAGCAAACACTCGTAAAAAGCAGCAGAAGGAGAAAGGGAAAATTACTTGAGGATTAGATATTATATTGCACTGTATAATAGTTTATATAATACAAAAAGTTACACTTTCATTTGTTTAGTCAACTTTTGAGCGAGGCTTAGTACAAATAAAATATATCCCACCTTTGATATTAGCTGTTTGAGATACTCGTATATTTTCCCATACCAAGGAATTATCAGAGCAACTTCTCATTAATTAAAAATATAAAGCTGCAAATATGCCTGAGTTTGATGGGTAGAAATGTCTGCCGATTTAAAGATTTTCTCTCATTTAGTGGCCTACCAGTAGACACTTTTAGCCTATAATTCGCCCCAATATACACATCGATTCTCCAATAAACCTCAGCCGGCTGAGTACCTTGACGGCTGCCAGCTGGTAAATAATATCTTGTGCAAAAAAGAGAAGCTATCTGCGGAACGTATAATACCTTAAGATACCTTTTTGACAAGGTTTTGAAGAAATCTTCTCAAATCTGAAAAATCGGTTGTTTACATATTTTATAATAGTAAGTACCAAGTTTTGTTGAAGAAAAACTGAGCGACTAAATCAACTCAATACGTCATTACGATATGATCTGTATAAATTGTGTCTTCTCTTTCTGGTCCTTACATACATCGTAGGGTTGTCCATTTTGTGGTCTGAAAAGTCTGGGCTTTATTTTGACATCTGTCAAATGTAACTGTCAGACCATGTTTGTTTTGATTAAGTTAAAAGTCAGACATTTGTGAAAATGATGACTCACACATGGCCATGTTTCACGCTCTAAGAGAAGATTATAGTGCAAATGGAATTGTTAAAATTTTAAAAAAATTTTAAGAGACCGCATGGTTTACAGATATTGTAAAACGTACGAATCTGCTGACCATTGAGAATCGTGTGCATACGTCCATTGGGTGCAACAAGCAGTGGACAGCAACTCTTCGAACCCTTTATTCTTGCACACTCGGCTGCGTAAAAAAAAAAAATTTTTTTTTTGTTCTCCGAAAATCTCAGAAAATACTTTCTGTCTGGTGCGCTCTTTGGTCCGGAGGTGTGATTTGACCTTACTTCCTTGAAGAAAATTCGGAGCGTTATAGTCGTATGATAACGCACATGTTTTTGCTTCCAATTGAAGAACACTGCTTGGACGATATGTGTTTTCAACATACATATGTGAATATGGCTTTCCTGCGAGAGAAATTTCCCGGCCGCATAGTCTTTCAACTAGGTGATGTCGATTGGCCAATTGTTTTCAAGCGGTTGGACTTTTTTCTTCTGTGTGCCAGAGACGATTGACGCCTTGAAAGAGAATATTCGGCGCATTATTGCTGCCATACTGCCCAATTGCGACAGAGAGTGGTCGGAAATTAGACCTTACGGCGATTTTACAACATAATGGTGAAACATTTTTTCATATAAATCGGATTTGTTGGTCATTAACATTAGGTTGTATGAGTTTGATTTCTTCTTGAAAACCGCATGTCTAAAAAAACACGCTTTATATAACATTGCCGGTCGAATTCGACGTGGAGGTTAGCAGAGAGTGCTCTAAACTTGGCCAGGCATACATCCAATATTCTGAAAAATTAATTTTGAAGTTTAATCACGGTCGTTTTTCGGACCTCCAAATATATTTCTGTAATGGAAATCAAAAATCCAACAGCACTTCGATGACGGCTTGGTAAAAACTGTAGATTCCTCTATTACTTGGAAAAAACATAAGACGTTCACTACAAATTGGAGGAGAAGCTCTACGGAATATCGTTTCAATGTTTACAAAGCGCCATATATATTATATACATATATCATACGCTTATATACATATATATATATACATATCACTTTAGTAATTAACAATGACAGCATTAATTAAATAATAATAATTCCGGTAGAAAAAAAGGTAAGAAAAAGAGACGAGCAAATGAAATTTAATAACAGAAAATACCGTAAAATTATGCATTGAGTAACCAACTTATTTAATTTATATTATACGAGAAATTGTGTGTTTATGTGGATGTGAAAAGCTGCTTAAAGCACACAAATACAGCTTAAAGGTTTGAAAAATATTGGAACTTAAAATGTTGATTAAATTTTAAATTCTACAGATTTTAGAAATTTTGGTTTTACTTAAGAATGAATTTAATCGGGAGTCAATATATTTTCTATGCCAAAAATTAATTTCATAAAATGCGATTTACTCAAAATCTAAAAATTTAGATATATGCTATTTTTACAAACAACCAACAATCATTGACGTGCAAATGAATTACAATTTAAACGAAAACGTACTCACTGAAAACCGATCTTAGCGTTAGGTTTCAAGCAATGCTGATGCTATCAATTTTTTACCAACAATTCAATTTGCTTTTGATATTTCCATACAAAAATTTCTGGCATTATTTAATGCTTCAAAATCAGTGGACACTCACTACATGTATATGGAAATAACTGCATTTCAAATACTTGTAGGCATACGAAAATGTATATATTCGCATAGGAAATTGACAAAAAAAACAACAACACAGATTGGTTACTTTTGTTTCATGCATAAATGTATTTAATTCAGTTTTATTTCTTTTGGTCTCGTGTTCTGCAGGAAATTTACATTTCCACACAGAGGATGTGAGCTTCAATTGCGTCGAGTGCTTGGACTCGAATTCAGTGATATTTTAACGTTGGTATTGTACGTAACTGAAAAATTTGAAATTATCTCGTTACACAGAGGGAATTCTAAAGACATTTAAGTGTGAATTTTTTTTCATTAATTTTAAATGAGAATCCTTAATATTTATTTCGCGTAAAATTGGGTTTCAATTACCCAAAGTGGAAAAAAATCACTCAAAAATATTATAACTAAAATTTAGTAATTTGATTTCGAAAATATGCTGGCATATGTGAGTATTTAGTAATTTTCATTTTTTATTGCTATTTCTATTATTATTATTTATTTATTTTTTTTTGTGAGTAAAACTCCTAGGGAAACAGATAATTAATAATTATGGTTCAAATAATTTGGAATTTTTCCGTCCCACATGGATAGTACGATAAACTAAGCTAGTTTCCCACATTACTAAATCAAACATAGATAGTCGTTTCCAATGAGGTAAAACTTTTTTCTGAGTTGGTTGGTTTTATACTCCATGTGGTTTGCCATTTCATAATTAACAGACTTGCTTCGAAATAAAAATCCGTTCACGTAACGCATCGCGATTCGGTCAACATAATCGCCCACCAGAGTCGGTAATGTAAACAATCATGGATCGGTTTAATATGGTGAATAAAGCGCATCCTCAGAGATGCCGTGCCATGGGCACCGTAGATGCTATTGCTGCTGTGAAGCAGAGTATCGAAAAAGAGCAGAGTGAGTCCATCTGTCAATGGCTGATTTTGCGAAAAGATCTCGGTTTGCGGGCTTACAAAATCTAACTCGTGCAACCGATAATGGTTTTCACCACTACAAAGTTTTGTTCAACGATGGAGCTCACTTTCGCTTGAATGTGTAGGTTAAGGAACAAAATTTTCGCGTTTAACGTGATTTTAAGTGATTGTTGCGACGGCATTACATAATCAAAAAGTTACTGTTTAGTATGCTCTATGAACAAATCGAGAGAATCATCGAATTTCTTCTAAAATTAGCCTGCTAGTATATGGGGAAGGCCTTAGGGCCACGATTAAGTGCTTTTTCGTGCCTGAATAGGATAATATTGGTATAGACTACCTTTGGTTCCAACAAGAGGGCCATAAACCCAACAAAATAACCAATTTATTGCAGCCAACTTGACTATTTTTTGTGTCGTTATGTGAGGTCACTTGTCAGCGCAGATAAGCCCGGCACAATTGACGCCTTGGTGATTAATATTGGGAGCGTCAGTGCTAACATACAACTCAATTACTGCGAAAAGTGGTGAGATAATAAGCCTCTCGGCTGGAATTTATTAAAAGTTTTCTTTTAAAATGCAATGGCAACTCTTATCTTCATAATAAAGCTAAATTTTTGGGCTTGGCATTGGATTATATGCGCTTAATTTCTACGTGAAATCCACATATTTAATAAAAAAAAAAAAAAAAAAAAAAAAAAAAAAAAAAAAAAACATTATTTAAATGCAATTTATTATTATAAATTATATAGATTATTATACCCGAAATAGCAGGGAAATAATAATATACACGTACATACATATATGCTCATTATAATATGAATATTTCTTTTTCGACATATCCTTGACCACTAAAAATCGTTTAGAAGCAAAAAATAAGAAAAAATATAAATAAATAAAATTAACATAATTAATTCAACATCAATATTATTTAAACCGAAATAAATTCAGATATTCACATACATATATATGTATGTATTAATTATGTATTATAACGTTGAAGGTGAGTTTCTCGAAGCGAATTCTTGTTGAATAAATTAATTTAAATTTTATTTTACAAAAGATAATGTTATACTTGGCGCTTTATAACCGTTAGAGCGATTTTTCGGCCGAGCTCCTTCTCCAATTTGTGGGTTTGCGTCCTGATGTTTTTCCAACAAATAGAGGGACTCACAGTTTATAGTAAACCTCGTCCGAACGACTGATGGTTTTTTATGAGAATTCTTTATTTCATATCCGAAATACACTCGGAGGAGTTGACATTCCTCGCCACGGTGCGAACGCAATTAGTAAATTAATTTTAATTTTTTATTCAAATTAATTTTTTATAACTTTTGGATGGTGGTCGTATAAGGATTTGAACCCCTCTACCGCGGCCGCCTCGACGTATGTATAGAATAATAAATTTTTGGTATGCCAGAAGTAGAGAAATTTGAAATTTTATTTGGAAACAAATACATATAAATTAATGTATTAATTATTATTTTTTTCAGCATTATCCTCTTGAAAAATTTACACCTCATACAATTCGATGTACAATCCTATTCTTTTGATCTCCGTTTGAAGGCTGGCTTTTCGTGAAGACAGCTCTTCATGACTCTTTGCTATTTTTCGTAATCTAAAACTGCCCAAACCAAAAGAGATCTTTCCAGACCCGCAATATTCAGCTTAGTGTGGTTTTGTCAAACTTCCCAGAAAACATTTCCTACAAAAAAGTTGAATAAAAAAATCTTTTTATAATCAGATTAAAATATTTTATATAACCAATTTTAAGTTGAGCTTGAAACTTCTTCTTCTTTATTTTCACTTTTTTCCATCTGTGACTTTTCCAAAATATTTTCCATTTATGCAACACTAAGATTATGGTAAAAATTATGAATCTTACCAATATTTTATTCAAAAATTTCAAAATTTATGGCAACCTTTTTTTCCAGCAATTCATACTTATTTATAATTAAGAAGCTAATTTAAATAAAAAGATGTCTTCAAGAGTACGTCATCTCTACTAATATTTGTGCTTCTTAGAATGCAGAGTTTACGTCACAGGAAAGGAATTTCCTTCCTGCCTGTTTATGAGGAAGACACACACGCTTGTCTCTGAATCCTGCCACTGATAATACAATTACGTTTTATTCCCATTAAGAATATTGCATTTAATCTATTTTTTTATTTTAAATTTCCAGTACTACTGGCTTGCCGGCTTCCTCGTGCTATTAGTCATCATTAGCGAAGTGCGACGTGCTTGGCGATCACGAAAATATCCACGAGGGCCCTGGGGCATGCCTATACTTGGCTATTTGCCCTTTCTCGATAGACGTGAACCATACAAAACATTAGCGGAATTAGCCAAGAGATATGGACCAGTCTATTCGCTGCGGCTGGGCAATGTGGATGTAGTGGTGCTGGCCGATGCGGCGTCGGTGCGAGAATTTCTGAAATGTGAAGAATTCACAGCGCGTGCACCGCTCTATGTAACGCACGGCATAATGGGTGGATTCGGTAAGTGACAGTGAAGCGAAGGGAGTGGGAAGTGCGAGTTCGAGTGCCGACTGAGTATCGAATAAAACGAAAGACTTAAGCAAGAAACTTGCATGATATGTGTGTCTGTATTTTGGCATTGTCTCGCCAACTTGGCAGGTATATTTATGTATCCGATACAACGGTAACTTTCGATTTCTTCAACAACATCACCACTTTAAAATTCATTTTAAGACAAAAAGATGTGAAATATTTCGTTGATTTTTTTTTTGTTTTGATTGTTTGTCTGATTTTTTTTTTCTTGCTGCACAGGCCTCATTTGTTCGGAAGGTGCGCTTTGGCGCAATCAACGCAAGCACATCATCGACTGGCTGAAAGACTTGGGCATGAAGAAAAAGCAATGCAATGCGCGTAAATCAATGGAGCAGAGGATAAAAAGTGGCGTTATAGAATGTATGAAGGTAACTAATGCACACACACACATACATACAAGCACACAAACGTGTAGACAGCTGTGACTCAGACTTGGGTCTCGTCTGGCTGCTGGATTGTCTTTATAATGTTTCAAATTAATTCCAAAGTTCATTGATGTTGCGAAAGCCAAATGCGAAACGAAGACATGGCAGAGGGCAAAGGAACATATAAGAAAAAAATGAGCCAAGCGCTGCTGAGTTATTGAAAGTGAATGGGACAAGTTCGTTTTCAACATTCAATTCCCATTTCTTTTTTTCTCTGTTTTTTTTTTTTGCTCAGACCTTTAGAGAAGATTCCAAGAAAAAGACTGCCTTCAATCCACACCATGCCCTGCAGCATACACTTGGGAATATCATCAACGAACTGGTGTTTGGCGTGAAATACGCACGCGATGACGTCACTTGGAAATATTTGCAGCAGCTGCAGGAAAAGGGTCTGAAATTGATTGGTGTCTCAGGTGCTGTGAACTTTTTGCCATGGCTGAGGTTGGTAAAACACTAACTAATACTAATAGATCATAAAATATAAAAAAAATTAAATTAAATACGTTAAATACGTAAAATAAAATAAAATAAAATAAAATAAAATAAAATAAAATAAAATAAAATAAAATAAAATAAAATAAAATAAAATAAAATAAAATAAAATAAAATAATATAAAATAAAATAAAAAAAAATAAAATAAAATAATATAAAATAAAATAATATATATTAAATTAAAATAAAATTAACTAAAATGAAATAAAAAAATAAAATTAATTAAAATGAAATAAAATAAAATTTAATAAAATAAAATAAAATGAAAGGAAATAAAATTAAATAAAAAGTTTCAACTTAAATTAAAATAAATTAAAAAATAGTAATATAAATAAAAAAATAAAATAAAATATAATAAAATTAATTAAAATAAAATAAAATGAAACCAAATGAAGTGAATTATTAAACTAGTTTATAAAGTAATGAATAAATAACTTTTATGTTAATTAAATTAAACTAAATTAAGCAATTAAAATTAAAACAAAACATAAAATAGAATACCTTGTGTAAAATAAAATAAAATCAATTTAAATAAAATTCAGAACAAAAGGAAAAAAATAAAATAGAAACATAAAAACAATATTAGACCAATTAAGAAAGTAATGAATAGAAAAATTTAGCTTAATTTAAGTGATACTCACCTCTAATCAAAACGACTTTTAGCACGCTCGGAAATGATCGAAATTGTTTTCATACCAAGTCTTAACTGAGTACGAACTAGTTTGAATTGGTGTGACGCTACTAACGGTTAATTAGGAAAAAACGCCGAAAACGTCGATAAAGTTTCATTCGAAATGGTTCCGAACTACTGGTTAATTTTTTCTAATCAATACCAAATTGATACGAAATTCTACTAAATTTAGTCAAAAGAATCCTACCTTTTGCTACGCTTAAACTAAACCGGGTTATGAATTAAAGCTCCGAATTGTATAAACCCCAAGACTAGTTCTAAAATTATTCTGAAGTAAACCGATTTAAAACATTTATTCCAGAGTCGTGAGACAGGAACTATTGGAGATAATATTTATTACCTCAACTTTCATGAAACCACGAATCATTTTTATCTTCCACTCCGCAGATTCTTGCCTTGGAACTTTCGCTCTATACGTTTTCTTCTCGAGGGCAAAGCGCGTACACATGAGATTTACACAAAGCTGATTGAGAAACGTGAAAAATATTGGGAGTATCGTAAAACAATAGAGGAGGGTAATTTCAATATATTAGATCACTTTGTAGATGAGCGCATGCGTCGCGAGCTCTCCGATGAAGCACAAGAACGTCTCTCCACCGATATATATTACACACGAGAGCAATTGTTACATCTATTAGCAGATATGTTCGGCGCTGGATTGGATACAACGTTGGCGACAATGCGTTGGTTTTTGCTCTACATGTGTAAATATCAGGAGGTGCAGGAGCGTCTCAAGAGTGTGAGTCCGCTTAGTTTGAGAATATCATTTAAATATTACTATAGAATTTCCCTTATACTACAGGAACTTGAGACAATACCAGATGCTGAATTTGATTTGGAACACCTCGAACAGTGTCACTTCTTACGCGCTTGCATCTCGGAAGTTCAACGTATACGCTCTGTAGTGCCTTTAGGCATACCCCACGGAGCTGTTGAGGACTTCAAAATACAAGGTCATTTGATACCGAAAAATTGCATGATACTACCTCTGCAATGGTCTGCGCATATGATGCGTGAAAAGTGGATAGAACCGGAATATTATTGGCCCGATAGGTTTTTGGATCCAAGTGAAAAATATTGTCAGCCTGCGGACTTCATTCCATTCCAAACAGGTAATTTGGAGAATAATAAGAGACACAACATTAAAAAGTCAATTTGAGCTTCAGGCTGTGAATATCGGCCAGTCAAATCCGCTTAGTACTTAGAAGACTTCTAACCCTTCTCTTCTTATTAGTTAGTCAAATCCCACGTTGAGGGCTAGGCAGTGGAAAATGCAGCATTTCACCATATTCTCCTTCCGTGAGTTTTCCACAAATAGTGATCCAACAACACTGTTAGTTAGTCTTTGAAGTGAATGGTTCGACGGGTATGGATCAGAGGGAGGCAGGAGGTTAGATGAAAACGTTTTTAAGGGCATACAAAGAGGCGGTGGATATTTGACACACCTTGGGTTTGTCAGCGTCAAGTCAATATTACTCGTGTCTCACGGCTCTTACGTCAGTCGGTTCTATGCATCGGAGTTTACCCGGATTTTTATCCGACTTTACATGGCGCTCCACATGCTCACACTCGACGCATAGCTCTCTCATGGCAATTACAGATTCTTCGTCATATTTGTGGGAGTCTGGTCAGACTGAAACATAGAATACAGGCTTAGAAATAGACTCTCAAAAAATATTACCGCCATAGAACTATCCGTCAACCATGGGAATAACTGCACGACGATTACTCTTCACCAACTTCGGGTGGACTCTTTTCAGTTAGTTTTTGAGGGCTTTCGGATATATAATACGAGCATTCTCATGAAGAATAAAGACAAGACTCTGATTTATTTACTGCAGACTGGTTTGTAGAAAAGTCGATCAAACATTTAGATTTATCAATGACTTTATAGAGTCAATAGAATTAACTACTCTCTCGCTCTTACCTCATAATTAAGATCAAATTGTTGTAATTTCCACAGATATAATCTTAGGACTGATATAACGTTATGTTCTCTCTCTGCACTGCCTCAAATTCTCTCTCTCTCTCTCTCTCTCTCTCTCTCTCTCTCTCTCTCTCTCTCTCTATAACTTGTGGTTTTCTTCTCTTCATTCTTTTCTCTTTTTTTTCCTACATTTCCCAGGCAAACGCATGTGTCCGGGCGAAGAACTTGCACGTATGATGCTCCTACTCTACGCCGGTTACATAATACGCAACTTCCACATTCGATTATCGTCCACGTACGAGTATATGAGTATGCGTGGTGAAAACGGTATAACATTAGTGCCATCATATTATGAAATGGTAGCACAACCCAGACGCAATATGAAGGATCTGGTGAAGGATCATGATGTGGACATGTATAAGGCGGTGGCGATGAAAAAGGATATCAAATCAAACACAATTTAAATTAAAATTTAAAATTTTTTTTTTAATGTATTTTTAAGTGAAATAATTTTGTTAGCTTATTTTTTTTTGGTCAAATTTAGTTTAGATATGTTTGTGTTTATTAAATGTTTTCTGTATTCATACAAAAATTGTATTAAATTGTTTGCATAATATATATAAATATATGTAAATGGAAATAAATGAGTTAAAAAAAAAACATTAAATAAAATTTAAATTCCAATAAATTCCATTTAATATTAGTCTGTTAATGCATATATTTATATATATGTTTGTATATTTTTGGGGCTCTTTTTTCTTTTTATTTTTTTCTTATTGCTTATAGCTTTGTTGCAATGAATTATTTGTTTTCGTAAAATGTCTACTTAATTCGGTGGAGAGCCCTGCGCGTAAACATACTTTTGGTCTTCGTATTGTGGTAAACACATATATATAATATATTGTATGAGTGCATAAGTTCGTGCCCGATTGCAAGTACAAACTAAAATAGAAATTTGTTGAAAAAAGCACTTTTATTAATCAATTATGTATTCGCCATCATGTTCGGCAATCCACTCCCAACGTTCAACCAATTTACGGATGCCTGATTCATAGAAATCGTGCGGGTTCTCGTTGCAAAAGGTGACGTCTTCCACATTTTTAAATTTTTTTCCATTCAAATTGTTCTGCAGCGATCGAAACAAATGATAATCAGAAGGTGCAACGTCGGGTGAATATGGGGGACGCGGCATGAGCTCCTTTGCGATTGGCCAAAATCGGACGTTTTTCATCAATTGCTTTCCTCAATTCGACCAATTGCTGACAATACTTGTTGGCAGTGATCGTTTCTCCAGCTGGCAAGAACTCAAAATAGATCACGCCTCGGATATCCCACCAAATGCACTACAGTACCTTCATCGGATGCAATCCACCTCTCGACATCGGTTCCGCTCTTCGTGTGCCTGTTTCCATATTCTTTTGCGTCGAACATTGTTGCAAAGGATCTAATTTTTCATCACCAGTCACAAGCCGATGCAAAAAAGGTTCGTTTTTGATCCGTCGAAGCAAAGAAATTGCTGTTGACATACGGTCCATTTTGTTTTTTTTTTCACTCAACTGATGTGGCACCCATGTATCGAGCTTCAAAGTGTACCCAACCTTTTTGTTGATTTGTTGACGTTCAATTCACTGGCAATCTCTTCCGTCGAAATACGCGAGTTATTCGCAACTAAAGTCCTTAGAACATCGTCATCAAGCTCAGAAGGCCGTCCACTGCGAGGTTGATCTTCGAGGTTCAAATCTCCAGAACGAAATTTCGAGAACCATTTCTTTACTGTGCGGAGTGCTCGAGCACGGTCCAAATAAACTTCGCGAATATCTTTAGTTGCAGCGCCTACTGTTTTTCCTTTGCGGAATTCGTATAACATAATATGCCGCATATGATCTTTTTCGTTGTCCATCTTCCATGCGTCTTTTCACTAAGCAACTCAAATCAAAATGAAGTTATTTTATGCTTGATTTACAGTTCGGACTGTCACCTTTCCAACGATATATAATATGTATATATTTCTTTCACGAGCGCCACTCTCAAACGATTCGAACGGCAACCAGCGGAATCGGGCACGAACTTATGCACTCATCCAATATATATATGCATATTTTTTTTTTTGATTTTCTGGCGATTAACGCTTTGTTTCAAATAAAGAAAGCAAATTTTCTAAGTATTATTTTTTTTGTTTTATTTTATTAACGGTTGCTTGTTATTTTTTTAAATAAGACAAACGAATTTTTTTTCAAAATATAAATTTTTTATTTTATTTATTTATTTTTTCTTAACAATTTATTGTCTTTTTACAATTTTCGCATACAATTTGTGTGAATAATTTTTCATTTTCTATTTCTATTTATTTTTATTGCCCTTAAAAGTATGCTACAAATAATAGAGCTTGGAGTATAAAACTAAACCACAGTTATTTTTTTCTAAAATATAAAATTTTTTACTTAAAAGATATTACATTATTTTAAACCTATAAATATATATATATATGTATGTGTGAATGAATTACTAATGAATAATTTATACAAGTTATATATATGTAAGTGTATGTATCTAGTATATGATATAATATAAATGCATAAATTTACTGAACACAGCTTCTTGGGGGTGCTAGAATAGAACATGTTGATACAAAAATATTATTTGTTGATTGGTTACTCATTTATGTATATAAATACATATATATATATATATGTAGATATATGTAATTAATTGGTATAATTTGTTACAAAAATAAATATTTATCTATTCATTTAATCTTATATACGAATGTACATATGTTTGTATGTAAAAAAGTTTATTTACCGTTACTTGCCCGTAGCTGGTAAACAAAATGATAAATCAAACAAAAAAAGGTATTTAAACAGCCACCAAGGAAACGGTAAGTAAGCGCTAACGGTGAACTTTAATATTTCAAATTCAAATACAGTGTTGCACGGATAAATGGATTTCAGGCAATCAAACGTCAAAGTCACATTTATCTGTGTAATACTGTATTATTTAATTAATTCATTTAATTAACTAACTATTTTAATGAAATTTGTAATGTTGTTGTTGTTTTTTAATGAAAATACTATTAAAAATTTATATTTTTAGGTTAAACAAGTTTTTAACCTCACTTTCACACTCTTTCTCGCGTTTCCACCCACCCTCTATCAATTTTTTGTCTTTGTTTTGTTGTTTACTAAAAACTATAAAAATACATTTACTTCATTCTTCGTTATTCTGCTCTCTCTCCTCGCTGCATACAAATATGAATTATATATAATTTATATATATATATACGTTTGTATGTATACTTTAATCGTATAGCTCATGTGTTTTGTTGTTGTTTTTTTTTTTTTAATAGAAAAAAATTAAAAATATTTTGTTATTTGTTGCATCGACAATTAGTAATCGTCAATTAGGAACAAGACCGTGCTCTGGTATGTCAAACGTATGCATGTGTGAAGAGCATGCGTGTGTACCCGCAGAAATTACCTCACATACGCAAGCAATGTGCGCATGCTCTCGCCATCTCCTTCACACACTTTTCTGCTTGCCGCCATTTTGCATACGCTTTTCATCTTTATTTCGGCGTGCCTCCGCTTTTACACATACACATACGTGTAAGTACAACACGCGCTCACCGGTTTTGCTTACTCTCTTTAATTTGAGCCAACATTGCGTACATTGTGCGTTTCGCCAGCCTTCGTTTTTCGCGAGAGCGGTCGTGGTGTTAGGCACACCTTAAAGGCCTCTGGTGTTATTGTTGCACCTACATTGCCCTTCAAACTCGGTAATGGTTGTCCCTCGGGTAGTGTAATGTCGAAGCAGTGCATGAAAGAGGCAAAGAAAAGGAAGAGTTCCATGCGCGCCAACACATCACCCAAACACATGCGTCGGCCCACACCGAAGGGTATGAAATATTCGGGCTTACGCACATTACCTTCGGTATCGAGAAAGCGGCGTGGATTGAATTCTTCGGGTTTCTCCCATAAATTTGGATCCATGTGTACGCTGTTGATGAGCGGAATGACATGTGAGCCGGCGGGAATTTTGTAACCATTCACTTCGACATCTCTGTAAGTGGAAAGAGAGAGAAAGAGGGAAATTTTTGATTAATATTGCAAATAAAAATGTTTAAAGAAAAAAATTGTGCCGATTGCCAGTGTTTTGTTGACGCTTAAAATGCAGGAAAATGTGCTTAATATTGCTACCGTGCAACAACAACAACTATAAAAATATTTAACAACAACAATTATGAATTATATTATAATATAACTTTTCACTTCGAAATCCAACTAAAAAGTCATAGACCAAATGGTAATCCCTCTCGCCATTCGTCACTACTCTACTCGCTTTACTAGTGCACAAACTACTCGTTCTTGCATTTCGCCAGTATTGGCTATCGCTAATAAGTCAGCTGTTCAAACATAACATAAATTTTCCTCGAATTCTTGCTGTATCATTTATAATTTAATGTAGAAATGATAATTAGTCGTATTTTACGCAAAATAGAAACCAAACGAAACAAAAAAAATCATGTGATTCTCAGAACTCTTCGATGCAATTCAATTGAAAAGTGCAGCAAATGCCCGTCCATGACAGCAAGTGAAGATCATAAGCCACATGTGAGAATGTGTGCAATATTGTTTAATACATAATCCCAACTACGCTTTGTGTAATCAGTGAAGCTGCGCAATAGCTTACATTTTTACATATGTATATTTGTATATACATAAATACGTTTTGATTGCCACACACATTTCGTTTAAGCTTATCAGGTGCAAGTTGAGCCCCTCGCATGTCGATAGCGCTGCATCAAACAAGCAATACGTACATATATATATATATATTGATTTTTTTTTTTTTGTGATTTAAAAAATGTATTATACACTAATGGCACGTTTCCAGCTGCTGCCTTGCCCACCGCTCGCTGCACCAGCCGACTCAGCCGTGAACGCGGGCAAGTACGCCGCAAGCAACAAGTGTCGGATGGCAAGCGGCTAGCTGGGTTTGCAGCGCGCCAATCTAACGTTGACTGCGGCAGAACCGGAGCTTTTTTGACTATGTGTGCGCGGTGGTGCGACGGTGGCTTGCCTTCCAAGTGCGTTTTTAATCAGCAATACGCGACGTGTGAAACTGGGCCAAACTACGACGCATCGCGCAGCAGTGAATGGCGCACGCTCAATCAAGTGTATGCACTTGTGGGCATTAATGCCTATGTGTAAGTATATATGTGTGTGTGTGCATTTGGCGCGTAGATTATAGATTATGGCGTAGATTACATATTGACGCACTTGCTATGTGATAACTGACAAGCGCTTTGCATAAAAGGATGCTCACGCCGGACAGCGGCCGTAAAACGCTTTGATGCACGTCAACGTATCAATTTGACGGTTGATTGCCGTGTGGGTAACAATGAAAAATGCGTAGATAGGCTGTTGAGGGCGTTGAACTTTGGTGATTTGCTAATGCGGCATGTTATTTGAATTACGTTTGAGATGTTAAATTGACAAAAAATTATATTGCTACTAACTATCATATTATACTAAATACCATTTATACTAAACAAGAACTTGTAGCCGATGTTAACAAAATACATATAAAAATTATAAAATCAACTAAAAAGGTTAAATAATATATTGTGTTTAAATAAAAAAAAACTTAAATTAAATGAAATGAAACAATAAAATGTAATAAATCCATTTAAATAAAATAAAATAAGTAAAATTAATTATAATAAAATAATTTAAGTTAAGTTAAATAAAACAAATATAATAAAATAAAAATAATAGATATTTAATTAAATAAAGTAAATTAAATGATATATAAAAAATGATAGATAAATTAAATTAGAATAAAATAATGTGAAACAAAATAAAATACAATGCAATAAAATAAAAAAAAATTAAAATTAATAACAACAAAAAATTAATGAACTAAAATAAAGTTTATTGTAAATAATTAAAGTAACCTAAATTGAACTAAGTCAAAATAATTTAACGGAAATTAAAAAAATAAAAATAAAATTAAATTAAATAAAATAAAAAAAAATATAAATAAATTAAATTAAAATAAATATCTAAATATCTAAGTTAAATTTAAAATAAAATAAAATAAAGTAAAATAAAACAAATTGAAACAAAATAAAATGCAATGTAATAAAATGAGTAAAAATAAATGATATGATGAATAAATTAATGTTTTAAAATAAGACTTAATTTAATTTAATGAAAGTAACCTAAATTGAATTGAAATGAAAAAAATAAAATTTAAAAAAAATTTTAAATAAAATAAACTGAAATAAAATATAGTAAATTAAATAACATTAAAAAAGTTTAAACACAATTAAATACAATACAGTAAAATGAAATAGAATAAATGAATAAAAATAAAAAATTTATGAATTTAAAATAAATAATAAATAAAGTAAAATGACGTTAAATAAAATACAAAAAAATAATAAAAAAAATAATAAAATGCAATTAAGTCAGTTTCATATAAAAAAAAAATAAATAAATAAATATAATTAAAATTTGGAATAAAGTTAAATAAATTATGTTGTTTTAGCTTTTCCTTATCATTTTTATGAATGAATTACGCTGGCAAACACCTACGACAGTTATTTTATAAGGCATTGGTTGTTTTTATTGCTGTTTAGCGACAACATTACGCGCCTTACGTTTTATGAATGAATGCATTTTTGGTATGAATGAAAACGGGTACAACAAAGCGCACAATTTTCCGCAAACAAAAGCTAAAACAGCAACAACATCAACAACAACAACATCAACAGCAACAACAGCGGGCAGCAGTAGTAATAACAATAAAAAAAGGCAATATGCAGCACACAACCGGTCATTACCGTAAATATGTGTGATGGAAAATAGCATCGGTAGTAGCAAACAGCAGCAGCAACAACAACAACAGCAATATGATAATAATAGCACACAGCCGAATAACAATAACAAATATTGCGAGTTTCTATGAAATGTAAGCTCTATGTACATATGTATGTACATATGGTGTCAGTATAATATGCACTCGCTTTAATGACAATGTCAAGCAACAACAATGGCAACAATAATAAATGTCAACAAATCAACTAAGCAATATATGTATGTATAGCACTTAACTCTTAAGCGAGTTTACATACAAACGCACATGTGCACGTATATTTATACATTTATATATATATAATTTTTTTTTGCTTCGCTTTAATTCTCCTATTTTATTCTCCGTTTATCAACTCGTTTTTAACAACTTACCTTGTTGGCGAGTGCGTTGTAGCGAGCGGCACAATCGATGAACGGCGAAGCGACTCCAAAATTGTCGATTCGGTCACTGGCAAAAATTGTAAATCCTCAATTGACGGCAAACGATGACGTCCAACAACCTGATCGAGTTCTTCTTGTACACGTTTCATTGCCTCGGGATTGCGTAGCATGAATACATTAATCCAAAGCAAAGTGGTTTTAATTGTTTCCATGCCGGCGGAGAAGAGATCGATAATCACTTGAACGATTTGTTCCTCTACAGAAGGCGAGATAAGAAATATAGAGAAAATTTTAATTATGAGCAAGTTTATTGACAGCACACAGAGCTTTTGCATCATAAATGCTTCTCCTTTTTTTTTTTTCAAAAATAAACTTTTACTCACCATGATTTTTGCCATCAAACAACTCCTCATCGCGTCCCTCGGCCTGCGCCTTTTCAATTTCAGCCAAATAGAAATCAACCAAATCACGTATATTCGATGGATCGAAGGTTTTTTTGTGATCATCGATGACGTCACGATAGAAACGTTGCATCTCTTCGCGATTTTTGGCGATTTTCGTTTTGGCCGTTAAAATCCAGGGAAAATACTGTACAGTAGGTATATAATCGACGGTGTGTATTTCACCAAACAAACGCATACCCTCTTCGATGAGAAAATTGAAACGCCGAAATTTCGAATCGTCAATTGAGAAACGTACAGACATCATTATATTGCAAATAACATTGCTGACGGCGACGCTAATGGCGGGTGCCATGTCCATAGGTTGACCCTTGGAGGCGGACAAATTTTGAATATAGTCATGTACTTCAGTCTATGAGTGGGAGAAAATTAGAGAAAAAAAAATAAATGAAATTGGTATGTTTTGAAGAACAAGCATAAAAATTGGCGAAGAATAAAAATATGCAAGAATCGTATAAAATAATTTCAAACAATTAGATTTATTTTTTCCGAGAGACGATATACTAAATATATATTGTTGTATGTGGAATGCATATATGCTTAGTGTGGATTGTATTGAAACATTTTACTTGACGTTTTTTCGCAGAGGCGTATGTTATTTTGAGAATGTGGAACATATTTTTTGTGGATGGCATTCAGAATTTTTTAATTTTGTAATAAAAAGCATATAAAATAATTATAAACAAAACTTCCTTGTTGAATTAAAAAATTTGGAAGTGGCATTTATGTGTATTTCATTAAAAAAAATATATTTTCGTTTTCAAAATATAATAAAACACTATAGATTATTTATATTGCAATTTTTCAATCTTATTTTTTTTTTAATTTTTTAATTAAATTTTTTTTTTAATTTTTTTAATTTTTAATTTTTAAACAAACATTTAAATTATTAAAAAAACGTTTGATATTTCATTAAAAAACTATTTTATAGTTATGTACAGTTATAGTGAAACTCACCATAATCCGCTTCTCCATTACGTGCTTTCCATTGCCCATATAAGTCATGCCGAATTGGCGTAGCTTTTCATGCAAAAAACGACGCTGATCCTTCCATAATTTACCGGTGCTGTTGATAATGCCTGCAAGTCAAAAAAAAATATATATATATAGCATAAAAGAAGTGTTCTATAAAAGCTCCAAATTATATAATAAAATACTTAAAAAGTTGTTAGTTTAATTTTTTTTATTTATTTATTTTTATTTTTTTTTAACTTAATTTTTCTTTTACTTGGTGCTCGTTTTCATTAACAAAGTACCGTTATATTATAAAATCGAGTTAAAACAAGTTGAGAAAAATAAACAATTTATGTCGACTCTCATCTGCTTTAGCTACTCATCACTACTTCTCGGTGAAATTTCAACAAAATTCCCTGGGAAAAAACATAAAAAATTTTATCAAAGTGAAAATGGAATTTTTACGTTTATCATTGGAATTTTTTCTTAACAACTTAAGCGCATTACACCAATTTGTCGGCGAACAAATTGCAATGAAATTTAATCGTAAACACAAAGGATGCGACAAAACAGCGATAAAATAAAGAAAGAAAAATTTATATTAAAAAATTTTAAAATGCATAACAAAAAATTTTCAACTATTTTTTTTATACTGATTATACTTTTTTGTGCATATATATGTATGTATATGTGTATTTCTTAAATATTTATCTTTCATATTATTATTTTTTGTTTATTCTTATTTCTTCATTTATATTTTCCTCGCCTTACACTCGCCCATAATTGAGGTAGTCTCTTAAACTAAATGAGCTGTGATAAAATTCAACAAAAATATATTAAAAGGAAGAAAAAGAAAAACGGTATTTTTTTTTTTGTTATTCACAACGAAAACAGAATACAACAATGAAACGGAACAATTTCACGTCAACTGGTAATTGTCGGTTGCAAATCGTGAGGGCGCTGCTGCTGCAAATATCTACTGTCCTACTTATTCGCCACAGAGACCAGACGACACACGACACACACATTCAATCACAGTTGAAAGTAAAGGAAATTTACGAAATCGCACACGCGATAAGACAAATAAATGAGAAAAAAGTAGAAGAATATTATGTTAAAAGTGGTAAAAATAAAAAATTAAAGAAATTCAAACAAAAAATAAAAGTGAAGAAACAAATAATGTTGCACAAGTGAAGTGTGGCATGATAAATAAAGAAAGATATAAAAATGAAAGCAAAAAACAAAAAAAGTGAGTAAATAAATAAATTTAAAATAAATAAAAAAATGTAATGAAAGAGATAAATAAATAAATAAAATGCACTTCGCTTAATCAAATAACCACCTGCGCTGCTCACAACAGGCACAAAAGCAACAAGCAATAAAAATCACTTTGCATTAACAACCAAAGCGGAAGAAATGAATTGTTACAATATAAAAGTAAAATTATTAAGAAAAAAATCCAAATATGTAAAAAGTTCAAAAAATGGCAGCAAACAATTTGCATACAAATTGCGCGTAAAATATCGTGTTAAAAAACGTGATCACCGTAAAGTGACGAAAAAAATACAAAATTGTATATTCAATGCAGTCAAAAAAAAAACAGGTAATTTGAAAGAAGACACTGGGAAAATTTAAAATGCAATGCAGTTAAAAAATAAAGAAAATAATAATGAAATGAAAAATAAAAAAATAAAAAAATAAAAAAAAATGTAAGCTTATTAAAAACACAAACAAAATGTACTGTATTATTGGAAACAAAAAATTATTTCCAAAAAAAAAATATTGTAAATTTTATTGTACAATATATTATGCTGGATTAGCATTATTTTGAAAATTTTTTTATATATTTTTTATATTCACCATAGTTTATCTTGTTCTTGTTATTTGTTTACCAATTGTTTGCAAAGACTTTCTTCAGTTTTATTGCGTTCAAATTTCAAAAATAAAAAAATGTAGACGTGACAACTTTTTTTCATTCAGTACTTGTGTTATTATTTTCATACAAAAATGATTGTTTACAATGTGTTTCCATTGTTGTTGAAAATTGATATTTCAAATATTTTCATTTTTTTTTCGATTTCTTGGCGCTGTTTTCGATTTTTAAGTTTTTGGTAATTTTTCTTTTCTTTTCTTTTGCCTTTAAGCGTATTTGGCTACGGTTAGTTAAAAATATTTGTTTTGCTTTATGAATGTTAACTATACAGATATAAAAAAAAAATATAAAAAAATAATAAATTTAATAGTATTTTTAATTAGTAAAATTAATAAAAATGAATTTAATGCGAAAACAAACAAAATAGAGACAGAAGATTAAAAATTTATATATAATTTGAAAATTTCCTTCCTCTATATTGTAATATTAAAAAAAAAATGAATAAAATAAACTAAAAAAATTAAAGTAAATTTAAAAAATAATAACTTTTTTTGGAAAATTTTAAGCAATTCATTTTAGAAAAAAAGTACATAAAAAAATCAAACTCAATTTCACATAATTAGTTTTGCGTTTAAAATTTCCTTGTAATGTTTTTTTTTGCACTACTTTGAATTGCATATTTACATAAAATTTCTACAAACTTAAAATGATATTTAAAAATAAATAAAAAATAATGCTAAATTTTGTTGAAAATTATAATCATTTAAATTATAACTATTTTTTTGTGTTTCAATTATTTTGAATTTTTTTGTTAAATTCTAATTTTTTACTTTGAGTGTTGGGAAACATTTTCTTTTATTCACAATTATTTAATTTTTTCGCTTTGTTTTTATTCATTACCTTAAATTTTACCTAATTTTTGTACCTAATTTTTTTTAATAAATTTTACTTTTTTCAATTGTTTGTTTTTTTCGTTATTTTTTTGTTAATTAAATTTTGTTTTCCTTAATTAAATTTCACCCAATTTCAGTGATTAGTTTCATTTAATGTATTTACTTTTGAGTTTTGCTCTTTAATTGAAAAGAAGATTTTTTTTTATATAAAAAAATTTATTTATTTACATTTAAGACTTATGATTTTTTTTTTTAAATTAATTATTTTTATATATTTATTTACCTTTTCCATATATTATATTATATAATTTTTTTCTTTAATAAATTCCATCTTATTTTTAAAGCCTATTTAATTTTCTCACTCTTTAAAGAATCACTTTTTCTACTTACCAAAACCATTTAATGTTTGCATAAACGGCGTGTCCGGTCTGCCGGTGAACTCTTCACGCCTGAAACATTCACGTATCATTTTATAATCACTCATCACGACGGTCAACTGATTGCCCAGACGCGTGGAGAAGAGTGTACCATATTGTTTGGCCAATTCCATGAAGCGGGTGTGCTTCTCATTGCCCATAAAGAAGAGATAGCCGATAACGGGGAAACCCCATGGACCCGGTGGCAGATTGCGCAGCTCTCGATAGGCTTTAAGTAGCCATTGCAAGAAAGCGATCACTGTCAACACGGTGAAGAAGACGAGCAGCAGGTGCTGCAGATCGTTGGTGGTGCATTGCCGCGTTAGCAGTTTTATGAAATAAGAGTTGGCGAACATTTTGGCAATTTTCGGAATAAAATTTTAAAAGTTTTTTCTCTTCTTTATTTTATTATTTATTTGTTTGGAACACTTTTTGTTTTCAATAAAAATTCTTTTTTATTTATATATATTTTTTTTATAATTTTAGTATTGGCACAGCAAAAATTTTTAACACTTTATTTTGTCTATAATTTTAATAAACATTTTAATGTTTTGCTTAAATGTCCATAGATTTAGTTTTGATGTTTTTTTTTTAATATTATTAATTTTGTTTAAAAAGTTTTAAAACCGTCGCTTTATACGATTTTCATTATTTTTGTTATGTTTAAAAAAATAAAACATATTTTTTTCCCGTTGTTTAATTATTATTTTTTTTACTTTTATAATAGCGCACAATAATGATATTATATTTATTTTTGTAATTTGAAATTTTTCAAAATTTCTTTTAAATTTTTCTTTTCAACACTCGCTAAAGCCAAATTTCAGACGACTTCGTGTTGTGCGTTAATAGATTTCGACTAATGGCCCAGACGTATGTCCTTGCTACTTTTATAACCGTCAGCGCTGATAGCCGACCACACGAACGAGCACAGCAAGCGAGCGAGTGTGCAAACGAACAAGCGATCAGCGTACAACGAAGCGACTTTATACGCTGAACGATCGTATTAAGTGTTTGAGCCAGTCAAAAATCAATCTTGCCGAAGCGCTAACCAAACTAAAGCAAATGCAAAGTAACGACGAAAAGCAAAGAGCAAAAAAGACAAAAGAAAAAACCGAACTACACAAAGCGTAACGCAACACTGCGCTGCTAACCGAGACGAACGTCGAAGCAGCTCAGTACAACACAACACAACACGACACCAGCTGAGTTGAGTGCACACCCCCACCGCGCAGTCGGTGTCCACAACGCGTCAGCGCTCGAGCAACGCCGTGCTTTATAGACAACGAACTGAATGGCCAAGCGCTGCTTAAAGCGCCAAAAGTTGTTGCTGTCGCGCACTCAAGCCAACTTGGCCGGTTTGGAGGTTTGGAGGTTTAGTAAGCAAAGCTTTGAATTCGTTGTAAACACAACCAACGCAGGCTAGTACTGCTGCTGATAAGCGTGTTACACTACCAGCCGGCTTTTTTGGATGGCTTAGCATGTTCGCTCGAAATGATTCCGAGTGTGTTCGCTGTGCAGCTGGTTTGAGTGTTATGGAAACCTCTGAAAAAAACCAGCTGAATTTATGACTTGAGTGACTCTCTTCCGCTCCCTTTCGCGCGTTCGCTCTCTCTTGCTCAAACACACAATGCAACCGATCATGTCAAACATTAACTCAATTTGCTGCTCATTGGAGACGCTCTACTGCTTTGCGGCTCTCTGTTTATATTTTGAAAGGCTAAGCAGCTTGCGCTCACTCCACTCACACTCTTATCTCGCTTATCAATTTGTTCGTTGGTTTGAAGGCATGTGGGTGTTATCAGTTGGTCTGACACGAGTGGGCTGACGAGTTTGATTCAAACAAACTATGATGATGCTGCAACAAGCTTACGCCTAAAGCGTTGCGTTAGATGATAATGAGCTTTGAGAGTCATCAGTAAATGTCATGGTTTAAAATTAGCAACTAATAATTTATAATTTATAATTTTTTGGCGGCGAATATTTAATTTGAAAACCAAATTAATTGTGACCTTTTGCAGCGCGGAAATATGTTTTTGAATATCTACTCTACTTCTTGGAGTGCAATCTTGCAGAGAGGTTAGATTAGCAAAACAAATATTTATTTTTATCTATGCGGAAGTTACGCGCTGCTTGTAAATATTAGTCTATTTTTGCATTAAATTGAAGGCTTTATTCCGCGTAGACGGAATCATCAAATGCCTCTTTTCCTTGTTCTTATTGGAAAAAACAAAACTTGGACAAACGACTTTCACAGGCTTTTCTTGAGGCCAATTCTCCACCTGCCACATCGCTCGCTTTTGAAAAGAAGAGTTACTATCCACTTGGTACGAGATCCGCACTATAATTGGATGCATAAAAACCTCCCTTAGCTTCTGGCGAGTCACTATCGATGTCTGGCTTTGTTCCTTGAGACGGTCCAATTGCTGACAGTAGAGGTCTTAATTAAGAGTTTGGTAGTAGGAAAGCAGATCATAGTGTTTGATCATTTGCCAATCCTACCAAACACGCAACAAAATCTTCCTAGCCATCAATCTTGGCTTGGAGACCTTTTTTTCCCATTCACTTAACTGCCTTTCAACCACGAACGCATTCATTTGACATTATTGCAAGTGATCCGCTTCTCATCACCAGTCACTTCAGTTTCGTAGATGGAAACTCGGTTCATGTGCTCTGATCTCGCTCACTCATGTGTCAACCAAACATGGAGCTTTTTGATGTATCCAGCCTTTTTCAAGTGGTTCCACGGGGTTTTTTATACTATGTTAAGCTCTTGAGTAATAGAAATTGTGCTCGCATGACGGTCATTATTTCATTGACATTTTCGAACATTGGCCCTCCAATTACATCAAAATAACCGCTACGAAATGTACGAAACCGAAATATACTCGTAGATCACTAAAGCCGTCTTATGCACAATGAGTCACTTTTTACTAGACCTTATATTTATTAGCGGTCGCGGTGGGCGAGTGGTTCCCATTGCGTACTGTCATTCGGAAGGCTCGGGTTCAAGCACTGTTGTCGTACTAACATTCAAAAATTTATAGAAAATTAATTTAAACATAAAAAATTAAGCTAACTTTTTTAATTGTGGTCGCCCCTCGGCAGGGAAAGTCAAGCCCTCCGAATGTGTTTCGGACTTGAAATAAAGACTTCTCATACGAATACAATCAACCGTTCGGAGGCGGCTTAGTATAAACTGTAGGTCCCTCAATTTGTTGGAAAAACATCAAGTCGCAAAACCACAGATTGGAGGAGGAGCTCGGCCGAAAATCGTTTCAGCGGTTACAAAGCGTTTATATATATTTATTAAATATTGTATATAATAAAATATATTTTTAAAAATTTAAATAAATGAAAAACTTCGCCTTGCATTCTTTTGCGCCGCTTCCAGCAACTAATTGCAACAGTCACCAGCTCGGCTCAGCGCTGCAGCTGAGCATAGACAAAAAGAAAAAGTTGATTTTTTTTACTTTAATTCACCGAAAACAACAAGACAACGCATAGACTAAACATTTGCATTTCAGGTCAATGGCATAGCCTTCATTAAAATATTTTTAATACAAATTAAAGCAACAAAAGTTCGGCAAATAAGAAATGCACACAGAAATACAATTCAAAAATTGTATAATTAAAATTATAACAAATCGTTGACTTGAAAATTTTTGGCATAGATAAAGTGACGAATTGAATGAGATTTGCTTAAGCGCCACACTTGTGCTTTGGCACACACATTCTTACATACATACAGGTATGCAAATGCAGCTAATGACCCTAGATTAGGTGAAATGCCGTTTCAATTACCTTTAATAAATAATTTATTCTTCTTGTTTAGTTGTAAAATGATTATGAATAGACGGTGGATGAACGTCTAGCCGCAAACCGCAACAAAACGAAATTTTCCAACACATCACTGATACCTCTCCGGCGGAAGAGACGGACGAAGTGACGCAAAACACTTTCTATGAGTATGTACATAGAAGCCGCCTAAGAATGCTGCGGGAAACGTAGCCAAATGTGCTGAGACTGATCGGCTTCTACGACTTCCCAAATATGATGGTCTGTAGCATTAGATTTCAGCCTAAGAAAATTCATCAAGCTACAAAACTGTCAACGGATGGAAAATCACCTAACCAGATCGATCATGTTGTGATAGATCTTCATTCATGCTGCGATATCTCCAGTGTGCTTGAAGTGCGTACTCTTCGCGAACCTAAACTTGTCGCAACGAAGATACGCACCTGCCTCTGTGTTTCAAAGGAAGATTCGACGTTACAATCACTACAGTTAACCGAAAGGTTTTCTACTCGACTTATTCTCCTGCTCTCTGAGAGCAGTCATCATCAGCTTAATACAACGGACTCTCAAACTCCCTACTTACCGCTGCTGCGGAAACAATTGGTTTTTGCCAGTGCTAGAAAAGGAGCCGGTACGATAAGGAATGTCTCATTGTTGTATGGAAAAAACGAGCTAATTCCCTCACTTGCTTATAAACGACCACAACACGGCGGAGTGGGATTAATGCCTAGAATTGAAGAGGGAAGCAAAACGTATTTGCAGAAAAATAAACAAAAAATGGGGAAGAGATGCGTGAGTAAGCAGAGCTTACAAAATGCTCAAAGATTCTAAGAAAAGAAGCGCAGAAAGGTTCAAAACCGGAGCATACTCATGTAGGAACCAAGGATGTAATCTGGTGACGAATATCAAGATCTACATATCCCTCATCGTTCCCGTTCTGCTATTTGGCGCAGAGACGTGCACGATATCGACAACTGCTGTGTCGGCCTTTAGAGCCCTGGAGAGAACAGTTTAGCGAACGATTTATGATGCTTTGTGTACTGGTGACTGCAAGTACTGCAGTCGATGGAACGAAGAGCTGAACGTGTTATACGGCGATATTGACATAAATCAGCTAATCAGAAACAGCGACCACGCTGGCTGGGTCATGTGGTTCGAATGTATAAGAACACGCCAGCTTTAAAGTATTCGATGTAGTATCCGGCCGTGTAAGAACAGTAAGACGAAGATCTCCACTCTGTTGTATAAATCAGGTTGGGCAGGACCTGACTGTACTTGGTATCTCCAATTGGCGTTATTGTTGGTTCGGCTATATCGCGTACGCGGATGAAAAAGAAGAAAAATTAACGTTATTTATAAATCTTTATAAGGAATGAATAAACCCAAAATGGTAGATTTATCGAAAATTGTGTTTTTACGAAGAATTTCAAAGATTTTTAGCTACATACATACATATATGTACGAGTATTTCTAAATGAATGCAAAAGAAAAATACCGAAATTTAAAAAAAAAATATTATTATTCCAATTATTAGACGATTAACAGGCAATCGCCAATAAAGCCCCATAGAATAGCTCATAAGAAGCGATAATAAAATTTTGTCAATCACCTATAAAATAATTAATGTGGCA